GGGGCCCGGTACCGGTTACCGTGGCCGGGCGCCGGAGCCCGGCTTCTCACTGCTCCCGTACCCCCTCTCCAGAGGCGCCGAAAGTGGAGGTGTACTCCCGCAAACACGTCACCTACGGGGAGGAGAACACCCTCAACTGCTTCGTGAGTGGCTTCCATCCTCCGAAGATCGACATCACCCTCCTCAAGAACGGGGAGCCCATGAGCGACGTCAAGTATGCGGACATGTCCTTCAACGACAAGTGGTTCTTCCAGCGCCTGGTGTACGCGCCGTTCACCCCCAGGAGGGGCGACGTCTACGTTTGCAGGGTGGCCCATTCCAGCTTCAGGGAGCCGCAGTCGTTCCGATGGGGTATGGTACCCTTCCTCTTCCAGCTTCGCCCCCGTTCACGTGCGGAAGCCAGAGCTCATGTCTCCGTTTCCCTTCTCGGGAGACGTGGTGCTGTAATGGGGTGGATTTTGAAGGTCTTGTGCTATAGGTGGAAAATTAGCTTGGTTTCAGCCGGGCTGCTGAAAAGGCTGCCTATATGTACCCATGAAAGGGTTCGTTGGTAGCAGACAGGGGAGATGGGCCTCGCTGTTTGCGTAGGTATTTGGTTGCACTGCGCCTGACGACTCGTAGTGGAGCGCTCCGACCGCTTCCTAGGTGAACTTGCCTAGAAAGAGATGGGTCATATTTGGTGAATACGAAGAAGGATATAGTGGTGGGGAGCGATGGTGGTGGCCCAGCCTGCTACGGCAAGCAGACAGCCACGCGAGGGCAGCTCACTGGTTGCTGCACTGGGGCTGTTTCCAGCAGGGGTGGGCTTGTGGTGATGGGTGAGGTGGGGTGCTCTTTGCCCCGAAGCCTAACGCTCTCCCCTTCTTTCTTGCAGATGCAGACTTCTAGGCTGTGTTGGGGATGATCGTGGTGAGTTAACACTGGTGCTCCATACTGTACTGGTAAGGGGAACATGGATTGCTTTCTGTAGGGGCAAGTCTGTAGCTTGCAGAATTGAGGAACAAAGGCAACGACCAAAAAAAGAAAAAGCCTCATAACTATAGTGTTGCCGCTGATTGGGAGCGGGGCTGTTCCCACACCCTTTCTACCCTCCATTTTGGCCAGTTCTCAGCCATACCTTTCCTATAAAAGCCTCCTTTGCTGAAAAGAAAGGAGCCCCTTGGAACAAAACTTCCCTGCATGTCTTTGACGTGCCTGCCAGATACTGTTCAGAGTTGTCACAGTTCCTCTGGTGCTTCTTCAGACCCTGTGGTGCTGCCTTCTGTCTGGTGAGGAGGAAGTTGCCATAGCTGGAAATCCCCGTGACTTGGCGGGGCGGCAGGCCGGTTAACCCAGCGGCAGGCAGTGTGTCGGCTCGGTAATGTGGGATTTACGAAGCACGGGTCAGTGCCTTGCTGTCAGACCAGCAGCGGTCTTGGCTCATTGGTTTCTCAGTCTGAGTGCTCCAGGTTCTTCAAACTATCTGGTCATAACTGATCTGGTAAATACTAGTTTAACCCTTGACAGGGAAAAGAAAACTAAAGGTATGTGGCCTAGCTGGCATAGTTGCAATGCTGGTTGAAACACCTTAGTTACGTACCCCAGTAGAGGCTGGATAATTATTAACTGTGGCCAGGACAAGCCTTGGGAAGACCTCACTTGAAATGCCCTCCATGTTGGACCAGAATGTTATTGGTGGCTTTTAGACTGAGATAGAATTGCGAGTCAAACGAACTTTGTGAATTGGAGAAACTCCTGGGCATTTCTTCTTGGGAAGATGTAGATGGATCCGAGTCCTTCACTTCTCGCTGTCTAATGCTGCTCTCCCTCTAAAGCTCTCCAGCCCTTCCTTGCTGTGGAGCAGCAAAGGCTAGGAGTGATGTTGGGCTTCCAGGGACAAGAGAAAATGGAGGTCAATTGACCTTCTTTCTTGTGGGGGACAACAGAAGAATATAAGGGAAACCTGGACCCAGGGCAGGGTCAGGGGTGTGCTGTGACCGTGCGGCAGTGTGGCGTGCAGCGGTTTTGCTGGGATGTTGGCGTGAAGGTCACTGATGGCAAGGGATGCCAAGCTTGGCTGGAGGTGGGAGATTGGTGACTGCTAGAGTCTGGAGTCTCTAACTCTGCAGTTGGAGCTCCCTTGTGGAGAACACTTTTTTCCTAAAATAATTACAGTTGAAAGTGTGAACAGAGTGGCTGATGTCAATCTCCTTTCCCCCATGCAGGTCTGAAGAATTCTGCCTTGCCAGCCAAAATCATCTTGAGCTTCTGTCCTTTCTTCATGTCTCACGTGTGGATATGATGAAGAGCAGCAATCGTCTTCACTGCAGAATTCCTTCTTTATTAAAGCTTATTGTTAAAATACTGTTTATTCAAGGCAGTATGCAAGCTAGGCTTTTTTTTTGAGCATGTAGATGTACATGTCTGCATTACTGATTAAAAAAAACAATTGTAGCTCTGCAGTGCTCTGAACTGTACAGGATTTTTATCTAAATAAAATTGGAAGACTTCTAAAATGTTTCTTCAGAGTTGTATGACAACCCCAGATGATTTTTGTGCGCTCCCATGGTTGTGGGTGGATCTGGAGGCTGGTGGTACCAAGCTCAAGTGCACTTTCTTATCCTGCTGAGAAGGTGCAGGAACACTTATCATCCCCCCAAAAAAACCCAACCCAAAACCCAGAAGAATTAAAGGTTGATGTGGGATCTGCCTGGCTACAGGCTCCTGAGTTGCTCTGTAGGGATGGCACAAGGTTAAAAAAACAAAAGGGACTAAGTGGTTTTGGGGATGCTGGTCTGATCTTAAAGCTGAGCGAGAGGAAAAGGAGTGATGGGCGAGATCTGGTGCCCACCTAAAGGGGGTGAAATCCAGCTGATTCTTCTTTGGGGTGTGTGGTATAAAGCTGGGCTCAGGGGAAGCAGGTATGTGCATCGGTGAATCTCATTTCTAGTCCTCTTGGGCAAGCAGCTGACCCCATGGAAAGTCCCGTTGGGGACCAGTCTTCTGCCATACCTCAGAGGTTTGATGGCACTACCCAAAAATGGTGCCACTTGGTAGAATCCGGTAGCCTGCTTTTATTTCAGGAAGAAGCCAGTACAATTGCTTGGTGACTGTTGGGTCGAGGAGGATCTCCTCAGTGCAGATCTCATGTATATGAACAAGGATTCCCGGCAACCCAGTGCGTGTGATCCATTGTGTGTCTCTTCTTGGGCGTATTAAGATTTGCTGTGACTGGTGTCACAGAACACCCACTTGAGATTTTTGAGGGATCTGGGCTTGTTTCATAGCTTTTTTCCACGAAAGCCACATTTTCTGCAATGTAGAAGAATAATAGTAACTGTCCTGTGCAAACCTCCAGCTTTGCTTGAAAAGATGTTCATCTCAAAGACAAGTTCTTTGCTACAGATGACAGTTTGCTGGGGTGAAGGGAGCAGTCAGGTGGACTTCGCACTCGCCAGACGAGTATTCAAACCAGCAGAGATGGGGATGTCACGGCTGGGTGGTCATGCAAAGCGCTTATTGCCCAGCGTGGGATGGCAGGACTCACCAGAGCCACCACACAGCTTTGCCTGCAAGGCCAGCCATGGTCTGGAGACCAGCCAGGGACTGCACCAGCCCCAGCAGTGGTCCTTCTATGGTAGAAGATGGTCTGGTAGGGAGGAAGAGGTTTGGGCTTCCCCTCCAGAGACCTCAGCAGAGCAGCACTGCCTGCTGTGAGAGCCCGAGGTGGCCTGAGTCATGTACCATGTCCCGGCTTCCTCTTCTGGATCACAAAGAGCCTGCCACCACTTTGACTTCACCTTTACTATCCTTAACAGCATCAGAGGGTAACGGCCAGGTGCATCACACCAACAGGAAAACCTCATCCTAATTAGGACACGAGTGGAGTCGACTGCAGAGAGTGAAGATGCTGAGGCACAGGCAACGTGAGACAACCATGTCTGCAAAGGAAACCTGCATCAACATCTTCTGGCACCAGGGAAGTCTTGACTGCATCTGTGGGTTTTTTGTTGTCTTACTTAGGAAACAGTTTGACATCTCACTCGAAAATCCCCACTCTGGGGGAGAATGATGCATGCCAATTCCAGGGGCTGGCTAATTTTGATTAACATCTGAATTTTGGGACCGTATCTAGAACAACCTTCTCTGTTTTATCCTTGAGGTCCAGCTTGAGGGGGTCCAAAAGCACCCAGGGTATTGCTGCACTGCTGCTGCTGACTTTTCAGCAAAAGTTACCAGTGGATGGAGTTGTTGAGGGATATCTTGGCAAGTTTGAAGCATGAAACAAGTCTTGGTTTTGCTTTATGAACTACGAGCAATTTTGCTGCCAGCAAACTGTTTCCTGAGTCAAACAAGTATGTGTGTTTTAGGGAGAACAACTTCTAAGAGAACAACTCTTTAGGAGAAGAACTTAGGAGAACTTTTTGAAGACCAACTCCTTCAACGTCACATCTTTTTGGGAGTTTTTAAAGCTTCACCCGTGCGTCAGGGAGAAAAGCTGAAGGAATGGGTCCAAGAGGAGGAGAAAAATCACTCAAGACACATGGCTGAATAGACGTCCTCTGAGAAAAGTGGAACCAAGCAAAAGAGTCCCGGCACATCCAGTCCCGGCTCTGCCACCACAGCTCCAGTTCTGTGGGAATGCATTTGACATCTGTTCCCTCTCCAGCAAGCAAACCACAGCGAGGTGGGTAAAGGTGTCCACAGCGTGTGTTTGCCAAAATGTCCACGCGGTGTCTGCAAGAGGAAGGCTGCACAGCCCCAGGCCAGTCTTGGCTGCTCGACACAGGCTGGCCCATTTAAGCTCATCTAAACTGGGCTTACCTGTGCCATACAGCAGTTAAACCGTGGCCTAACATCTTTCCTTACCTTTTTCTCCTCGAATTTGACGGTGTTACCAAGCCCTTCATGGAAAGGCAAGTGCAAGCAGAAGTAATTCTTCAGCTTGTGTAAAAACTTGAATGAAAAACGAGTAAGAATCAAAGACCAGGGGTTTCTGCATCACTTTTCAGTACTGCTTACACTTGACGTTTAGGGCATATTCAGCTCTGCTTAGGTATGTGCACTAGTAAATCTTTATCCTGGGACATGCAGAAAATCCGAGCATGGAGGAGACTAGGCTGAGCCCTCACATGGCTGTGTCTCACCTGTGTGTCCTGCTGGGCTGGACTTGCCCCGTTTCATGATCACACACTGCCTGGCAGGATGGTTTGTTCCCTCTGCAGCACAAAGCACATGCTGTCTGAAAGAGACGGGGTCTGGCAGGCAGCTCCGATCCAGCAGACGGCATGGGAGGACATGAAATCTGGGCGAGGAGACGCTGTCTTCTTCTCACTACCTCCTCTTTTGCCACCACCTACAGAGAACATGACTACAGAGCACTTCCAGGGGAGCTGGTTCCCTGCATGGGACAGAGGGAAGGAGCCAGGACCAGGCAGTGTGAAGACTTTGGCCTCACCGTTCTGCAGAAGTTGGAAGAGGTTCAGAAGGTGGGGCAGGGCGTGGAGAGGACCGAGGCTGTCAGATGCTGCTGGGCTCTGCCACTGCCTTCTCCTGGGCAAGTCAGCTACAGACGCCATCTCCTCCGTGCCCTCAGCTCGTCCTGTCCCCTCCCCAGGGGTGACACAAGTTGGTCAGAGCCGTGGAGGGTTTCCAGAGGAGGTTGAGCATCAACACGCCCCACGCACCACCGTTGCAATCCTGGGGCAGCCCCACTTC